GTCCTGCGAATCTGTAAAGTAATCCTCCTCGGGGGAGTTTAAAGCAGAGAAAGCTCCATAGTGTAGTATAGTAAGGTATTTTATTGAGCATAAAACATCCAGAAGGTAGCAGGTATCCAGGTGGAAATGTAAATATCAGTGTAACTTGGACTAACCGTCCTAGCGAAAAGATGGCCGCCAGAGCTCCACATTGCTCTGGCGGCGTGACGTCACAGCGTTATTGACTCCTGACTCTGGAATTAGGGTACTTATATCTATTCATAGTGGAGTATACGCTTACATAATTCCCTGCATTCCCCATTGTAGCGCCGGAGGTCCGGAGGGAGCTGATAAGTCAACAAGCCTTCTCTTCCCCCTCTTGCTGTTGGTGTTGCAGTTAAATGGTTGAAGCTTACTACTCATGACTGTATAATCTCTTAAATGTTGCTAATTGATTATTTCTATTTTACCAGTGTTCAGCTTTTATGTGTTAACCAGAGCTGTATATCCTAATCCTATTATTTCTGTGGTGTACACTTTTGAACAAGTTTATTATAGAGGAATTACTAAAGAATTGTGCCTCTTGCATTATTATTCTATACTGTTGAAATATGTCTGAACCCAGAGTGTCAGAGGTGTTGAGAGGCTTGCAAGGTCAGGGCAACCATTTGGGACAAGCATTATCAAGTGGCCCCTGCGGAGGTAGAGCTACAAGGATATTAGTGGCCCATCTTGTGTTTATTAAGGCGGAAAAGTGAACTTTTAACCAAAACCTTTTTCCAGGCCTTTCTGAAGAAAATCTAGAATGTTATTAACTTAACTTCTGGAGATGATGGGTTAAAAGATTTTGCAGAAGCTGATTATAGGAATTTTTTCCATATCCTGTGGTAGGTCATAGGTCACATGTTTTCTCATCTTCATAAGGGTAGATATTACAGCTTGGGGCATCCAAGGCTTGAGAGCTTCTGCTGCTCAATCTCTTTGCCATCAGACTGAGTTTCTCTGAAGACAGGTGGAGGAAGGATGCCTGGCAGGAATCTCAATGATGTCTCTAGGCTGAGGTGCAGCATTGCTGAAAACCACAATCTCTGTGGCTATCTCTGTGGAGATTATTGCAATCATGACCACAGGAAACTGAGCCAAAACTTGAAGGAACTTGGAAATTTGTGGATGTAGAGGAGAATGTAACAGAGAGGTATAGCCTATAGAGAATGTCCAAGGATAAGTCGGGGCATTTACTCCTTGGAAATTTGTATCAGACTAGGAAGTTTTTGCATTTCGTTTTCTCAGGGGTGGCTAGGAAGTCTATCTCTGGAACTCTCCAGAGAGCTATGATCTAATTGTATACCTCCATGTTTAAGGCTCATTCATTCTTGTTCACCCAGCTGTGACTGAGGTGACAAATTGTTTCTCGCCTACAATTCCAATAGGTTTTACTGGGCCCAGATCATGATTGGTTCTCTTTCTTTCAACATGGACCTGCTGCTGGTTCCTCCCTGTTTGTGGATGTAACCTACCAATGTTTTGTTGTTCATTCTCAGTTGGACTGTCTTCCCTTGGAGCAGATGAACAAAAGATAGTAGGGCCATAAATGCTGCACTGTTAGATCCTCATAGTGGGAACCCCAGCTTCGATGGCTGGCTTCTGAGGTGAGAATCACAATTTTGCCTGATGTAATGGAGTGGTATCTGGACAAATTTGATTGCTGTATCCACACCACAGTAAGTTTCTCATGTTGTGCAAGATTCTGATCTGTTGTCACAAATCTTTAACTCTTTTGAGCAAGGAACTCTATTTGGAATTCCCTCATTATCCAATAGGCCCTTCTGACAAAGGGAATTGTAGAGTAGAAGGTGCCATGGAGGCACCTTGTTTTTGATACTCCCTATATTCTCCTCCAGCAACTAGGAAGATGAGACGCTGGGTTGGGATAAGATTGGATTTGTTTTCATTGATCAGCCAGCTAAATTCTCGAACTGTAGAGAATAGTATTTCTTGGTGTTATACTAAGATATTGGTGTCCTGTGCTAGGAACAGGATGACATCCAGGTAATGATTCATCCTGAGGCCCTTTACAATTAAATGTGTGATGAAAGGTAGTAGCAGCTTTGTGAAAGTCATTAAGGTTGTGGAAATTGCAGACAGAAAATACACAGATTGAAAGTGGTACTGCAGGACCATGAGGAATTTGGAGGTATGCACAAGTTCACTGATAGCATCTAGTTGCAAAGAGAAATAGCTGGAATGATTGACTGGTGAGACTGACTATGAAAGGTCCAGAATTGGTCTTAGATACCTGTCTTTTTTTTATCAAGAAAAGAAGAGAGTAGATGCAGGATATTTTTTTCTGTTTTTTGGACTGGATGAATAGTTTTATTTTAGAGCAGTAGCTGAATATGTATTTGTCAGGACCAGGATCTGGACCCACGACCTCTGCTGCACCTCTTCTTGGTGAGCCAGCTGAGACACTGTACAGCACCCTGCCTAATCCTTTGGACAATCCTGCCTTGTACCTTGTTCCTGGTGAACCTTAAACTCCTTGCTCCTCCTATAAATTTCCTATTTATGCCATGCTTTTGCAATTCTTGTTTGCCAAATTATTGTGCTTATCTCCAGCCAATATCTTGCTCTTGTTTCTGTTGCTCTCCATATCTTCAACAGCTACTGGTCTCCAAGCCTGAACATGACAGTACTAACAAAAGATCATGAATGAGTCGCTTGGACAAAATGACTTTGTGGAGGATGACAAATAGAGTTCCTTGCTCAAAAGAGTAAAAGTTCTATGACAGCAGATCATAATCTTGCACAGCATGAGAAACCTACTGTGGTGTGGATAAAGCAATCGAATTTGTCCAGATGCCACTCCAAAATGACATTGTGGAGGGTGACATTTAAAGGCTTAGTAATGACCTTTCAAAATGGTGGAAACCACTCATGAGCAAATGGGAACCTACCATACAGGAGTGTACATGTGCACCATCAAAACAGCGTTTTTTGGATTTTTGGGAAGTAGAGGTACTCTGTTTTGACATCTAAAAAGAAGTTAACAAAAAAAAAACATTTTGTATCTTGGGGTGGCAAACCAGAATGACCACCTGTCATCTTTTGAGATGGCTGAATCAAATTTTTCCCCAAAGAGATTGGAACCATCATAGGGTATCCTATACTATCTGGTTTCAGCTGAGTAATCAGCCGTCCATGGTTTTAGCCATAGTACTTTTATTACAGTGACCATTGCTAACATGAAAGCACCTATTGACACTGATAGCAACCTCACCCATAAAGTCTCCTGACAGTTTTAGGTCTTAAGGGCAGTGATATGTTATGTCAAGAATGTTTTTTAACACCTCTTCAATATTGTTTGTCCAGGTGGAGATGGCTATAATAACTGATGTTAGAGTAATCACAAGAAGGCATGCACTGAGCCTTTCACAGATCAGGGTCTGCTTTCCTACCAAGCGGGTCTTTGAAAGAAACCACATTCTCCATAGGTAAGGTAAATACATGATGAAATTAAATTTGAGATTTGTGGAAATGGACACCACTTTGATATTTTCTCCAATGCAAAAATAAATACTTTTTATTGCATACAAAATTTACAAACGATTGTCAAAATAAGCATACCCTTCCTCAATAGAAACAGACAAAATTTCCCAAATATCCACAAATCCACAACCTGCTATTCAGATTGATATAAAGGACTGATAACAACAATGCTGTAGATCAGGGGCTCACAGCCTTCCCATTGCTAGTCCCTGGTGTTCTTGTCTGCTTTGAGAGCTAGACTTTAACTGTTGGAGGAGATAGGTTCCTGGCTCAGTAGGTGTGCACTATTTTGCACTCCCTCCAGCTACTGGAGTGGGGGTGAAGATGCTGGGTTTTCTCTATCCAGCTTTGACTGCCCTGGGTGCCTGACAGTTCTAGCAAAGTGAAGCACACCAGGCTCCAGCTTTCCTACTAGTACAGAATAGTAGCCAGAGCTGGCTGGAGGGAGACTTGTGGCTTTGTCCTTGTTCTGGGGGCCAGCAGGAGTGCAGGACAACATGGACCTTGGAGTCATGGAGGATCTCAACCTATATGCTGCTGGTGCTTATCTGTACAAGCCCAAGTCCACAACACTGCAGTGGAGGCTCAGTTGTAGGCAGGAGTCTCATCTGCAGCCAGAGGGAAGGGGAACTTGTTAATCAGCACAGAGCTGCACAGAAAGTACATGTAACACCCTACTACAAGTGTTGATGTAGAATGTTAAAATGAACACAAGAATGCAGTGTCCTACTGAACAGTGGCATTCACATTCTGTAGAGTACCCCATGGAACTTGTATGTTGAACCGCCGGACTTTACTAAGGAATAGTGCAGTAAAAAAACTACATTTCCCAGAGGAGTTGGCGTGTGGGCGGATGCATAAATATGTGAAAGCTCGGGAGATGAGACAGGAAGTGAGAGGGGAGAGATCTGGAGAGAAGAGTGTGCTGACTGTGGAAGGGCCAAACCAGGCTGTGGAAAAAGAGAGAGAGGAGGCAAGCAGAGTCTGTTGATCGCTGACCTTGCCGTATCGTGAAGAGAGTTAATCTGCTAACAGGTGATCGGACAGATTGCTGCTGGTGGGACTGGGGAGTGTGTGGAGGCCTTATCGAAGGAGAGAGAAAGACCACCAGAATTCGCCAGATTCCATACCTCGGGTGAGAGAGTCCTAAGCATTACCAGGGACAGGGAACACTGACACCTGCTCCACCTTTGCTATTTTCCTGCACATAGTCACGGACATTGCACATAGTTATTGGAAGTCGCGGCCTTGTTCCTTCAGCTGCCATCATTTGATCATCTCCTTGCCCTTGCCATCAGGTCCTAAAGGCCCAAAGTGAGCTAGTCTACCCATTTGACAGTTCTCGCTGCTCACTGGGGATTGTAAGACCACCTCAGGTTGAAGGTATTGGGTTAGTTTCTGAAAAGCAGGTCTGCTAACACTAACTGAGATTCTGTGATAAGTGTTGTCTTTTCTTAGGATAAAGTGTTACTAAACCCAGGACCCTGCATTCCCTATATCTGGTCTCTCACAGTACACAGAACATGGAAATGTGATTATTTTAGTAAATATAAACTGCTAAATACCTTTTCTCATCAGCAGTTAGTGCAGTCTTGTGACTTCTATCAGTGTCCAGCAGAGCACTGGTTACAGCTCTTAGGAGGAGTTTTCATTCTCCTCTAGGAGGATGTAGGACCCCTGACCTCTGTCTGGACAACACTGATTGAGACTTTGCTGATCATATGCACTTTCCCAAGAAAAAAAAAACTGAGCATGTGCTGCTCGCCCTCGAGTGTCTATTCTATCAGAAGATATTTAGGAGACACTGGAAGAAGGGGAGGATCAGAGAAGACAGGATCAAACATTTACACAATGCAGAGGATTAACCCCTTAGGTTCCACAGTGAGTATAACAAGCATGCTTTACTGCAAATGCAGACAAATTTTACTGCTATGGGTTTAGTAACACTTTAAGCTAACACAAGTAGCAACTGACTTTGCACATGCCAATTATGTTTATGCTGTGTAACCAAGCTATATTGAAGTTCATTATAAACCTATACTAGTTTTCTTCCGTGTGTGAGATTTCTTTCTAATAGTGATTTATTCCAGTTAAGAGTGTACTGTGGTGTCAGCAGGGGTTGGTTTTTCAGAAATAATTCAGCAACTCCTAAGTGGGTAGTGCTACATACACATAAACCTTCTGTGGCCATCAGATTTGGCTGAACTGCGACACACATGGCTCTTATCTATTACTGCCCTCATCCTGGAAATGTTTGTACACTGCCCTCATCCTGAAAACCATTCTCTGCTGATTGGCAAGCTCATGATCTCCTCAGTGATCATTTTTGTTGCTACTGATCTGCAGGTTGTCAGCCGGTTGATCGCAATCTACCCCTTGATCATGGTCATGTTAGGGCATGAAAGGTTTTGGAAAAATTTACCAGGCCCTGTTGTTCCTAAGGTTAAGAAGCACCGCTGCCAAAATTGTTTATACAATGACCTACAATCATACATTAGCATATGGAAATCAAGTTTTAGTGGGTTTGTTGGGAACAAAAAGTTGATGTGTGCAATTACAGGTTAATGCTAATTGGCACAATTAGCATTAGGGGGAAGCAACAGCAGAAGGGAGTTGTTGCTAATTATGAATGTTGCAACAGCCTCCTTCAGCAATACATATGTGGAGTAGACTCTCTATTCTGTCTCTCCAATCTAAGCATTGAAAGTGTGATCTCTGTAATTTACAGTTGTGATGAGATAGCGATAATTCCAATCTTAGTTGAATAACACAGGCAGTGACTCGATCCAGACGACACCTTGTAGATCTTGTGAAGTTGTTTCCATAAACTGATCAATGGATCAACTTGGGTACAGCCAACCTGCTCATTGATGGATCAAATCTCATCTGGTCCCTGCTAAACTGGCCAAGATTGGATCCATCTGTTGCCGGTTTTAGAGTCACATAAAGCAGAGACTTAAGATCAGGAGAGACTGAACCTGTCTGGCCAGCTGCAGAGTAAAAGTGGATAAATGAAAAAAAAAAAAATATATATATATAAATAATTATAATAATATATATATAATAATATTATTAGTATTAATAATGATAATAATTTTTCTGCTTTCTGTGTTTTTTTTTTTATTTCACTTCAGCTCTGAGATGTCAGGAAATTCAAGTTTCTAGTCAACCTTTAATCACACAGAATATTAAATAACTAGTCATTGTGGTTTACCATTGCTGCACATTCAGTTAAACGAGTGTGAGCTTCTGTGTAAAATAGTTGTGGTTATTGTGTTTTTCAACTTTATTAAGCTTCAACTTTACTGCCACGGTTAGCTGAGAATATGTACTTCTCTTTTTCAAAAAAAATATTTTTATAACTTTAGAATTTTTAAGAATAAAAGTTTTCTCTGCAAATTTTCCTTTACAAAAATCAGCTTGTATAGCAATTTGCAGTATTTATTAAGAAAAATTAGGCATATATATATATATATATATATATATATATATATATATATATATATATAAATAAATTTATTTTGAAAGGATGTGATAAACATATGTCATTTGCAAAGAGTGTGATAAACAGATGTCTCACTTTTGAATATGTCCATCTCTTCATGTCACATATTTTGTAGCATTTCAACATGTTGAAGTACAGTGCATCCAGAAAGTATTCACAGCGCTTAACTTTTGCCACATTTTGTTATGGTACAGCCTTATTCTAAAATGTATTACATTCTTTTTTTCCTCAACATTCTACAAACAATACCCCATAATGACAACGTGAAAAAAGTTTGTTTTAAAATCTTTGCAATTTATTAAAAATAAAAAAATAAAAAAATCATATGTACATACGGTATCTCACAGAAGTGAGTACACCCCTGACATTTTTGTAAATATTTGATTCTATCTTTTCATGTGACAACACTAAAGAAATGACACTTTGCTACAATGTAAAGTAGTGAGTGTACAGCTTGTATAACAGTGTAAATAACTCAACATACAGCCATTAATGTCTAAATAGCTGGCAAGAAAAGTGTACACCCCTAAGTGAAAATGTCCAAATTGGGCCCAAAGTGTCAATATTTTGTGTGGCCACCATTATTTTCCAGCACTGCCTTAACCCTCTTGGGCATGAAGTTCTCCAGAGCTTCACAGTTTTCCACTGGAGTCCTCTTCCACTCCTCCATGACGATATCACGGAGCTGGTGGATGTTAGAGATCTTGTGCTCCTTCACCTTCCATTTGAGGATGCCCCACAGATGCTCAATAGGGTTTAGGTCTGGAGACATGCTTGGCCAGTCCACCACCTTTACCCTCAGCTTCATTAGCAAGGCAGTGGTCCTGGTGGAGGTGTGTTTTGGGTCATTATCATGTTAAAATACTGCCATGTGGCCCAGTCTCTGAAAGGAGGGGATCATGCTCTACTTCAGTATGTCACAGTACATGTTGGAATTCTTGGTTCCCTCAATGAACTGTAGCTCCCCAGTGCCGGCAGCACTTATGCACCCCAGACCATGACACTCCCACCACCATGCTTGACTGTAGGCAAGACACACTTGTCTTTGTACTCCTCACCTGGTTGCCGCCACACACACGCTTGACACCATCTGAACCTAATAAGTTTATCTTGATCTCATCAGACCACAGGACGTGGTAATCCATGTCCTTAGCCTGCTTGTCTTCAGCAACTGTTTGCAGGCTTTCTTGTACATCATCCTTAGAAGAGGCTTCCTTCTGGGATGACAGCCATGCAGACCAATTTGATGTAGTGTGCGGTGTATGGTCTAAGCACTGAAAGGCTGACCCCCCACCCCTTCAACCTCTGCAGCAATGCTGGCAGCACTCATACCTCTATTTCCCAAAGACAGCCTCTGGATATGACGCTGAGCACGTGCACTCAACTGCTTTGGTTGACCATTGCGAGGCCTGTTCTGAGTGGAACTGTCAGGGATCCGGGTATGACCAGAAATGTGTGGACTGACACAGGGAAGTAACAGGCTTCAGGAATGATATAATAACAATACAATTTATTATTAGCCACCCAAATATACAACGCACAATAAACAAACCAACCTTCCACTAATCTTAGTATGTGCAGGAACAGAGGCGTAGTCAGGGCTGGAGAGGTGGAATGGTCAGGCCAGCCATATGGTTCTGTTAACGACCGTCTGGTGGTACCTCTAGCAGTCCTCAGGACAGGATTCCCCAGGGCACGGAGTCTACGTCCCAGTCTGCTTATTCACCAGGGCCCCTGATGGTGGGGATGGACTTGGAGCAGACAGGAACCAGGTCGCGGCACCTGAGTACACCTGCTCGTGGTAGAGGGGATCCGCCAGAGGTATATACTGATGTGAAGAGGCAGAAGGTGTGAGCAGGGATGGCTGGATCCATGCAGGATGGATGGATGGATCATCTGGGTAGCGTAAGGCGTAGTAGTCAGGCAGGCCAGGTCAGCAACGTGCGAGCAGCGAGGTACCGAAGGAGCAGGCAGAGAATGGTCAGGGTCACAAGCCGGGTTCAGTAACTCACAGGCAGCACGGTACAGAGGGTCAGGCAGAAGGATGGTCAGGCAAGCCAGGGGTTAAACAGGAGACGGACGGTCAGCAACAATGCAGAGGTCGGCAACAGAAGATAGGCAGAGGAACAGGAACACAGGATACCAGGCACAGAGGCTCATGGGAAACATACACCAAGGCACTGGTCACAGGCCTGGTCCTGCTTAAATACACCTCCTGCAATCAGCCTCAGGTGATGGCCTGATTGCAGGAGTGAGATTCTGGCTGTTGAGAGCACCCGCTGGCCAGCCTTGGTACTGCAGCCCACAAGGCAGGTGTGTCCCACCACCATTGGCAAGTCCATTCCTGACAGGAACCTATCCTGTTAAACTGCTGTATGGTCTTGGAAATCTTCTTATAGCCTAGGCCATCTTTGGGTAGAGCAACAATTTTTTTTCAGATCCTCAGAGAGTACTTTGCCATGAGGTGCCATGAACTTCCAGTGACCAGTATGAGGGAGTGAGAGCAATAACACCAAATTTAACATACCTGCTCCCCATTCACACCTGAGACCTTGTAAGTCACATGACGTTGGGGAGGGAAAACGGCTAATCGGCCCCAATTTGGACATTTTCACTTAGGGGTGTACTCACTTTTGTTGCCAGCAGTTTAGACAATCTGGACCAGCAGAGACAGGTCCCCTTCCACAGCTATATAGGAGTTCAATGTGCTTGACAACATTTACCTGCTGGACCCTGTTGCTAGAAAGCCCCTTGATGGATGTGTGCTGACAGCTCTGCAATCATGTGAGCACACCTCAGCTCAGGCAAGTGCAACACCTGCTTTAGAAACTAAGTAGGTACAAATGCATGGAACTCCTATACCATAGTTCAGCCACTGTGCAGGAAGTTATACCTAATATGTTCATGTGACAACTTCCTTCTGGGCTTGCCTGAATATTATTTTGAGCCAAACCCAAGCTCATCCTAGGTAACAAATGGTGAATAGGTATATCTTAGCACACCAATG